TCCCAGCCAGAGTGTCTCGGGTAGGTTCGGGGAAACTTTGGTCCGGCAGCACACTGTCTATCCCAGCCAGAGTGTCTCGGGTAGGTTCGAGGTTCTACCCTGCCTTGCTTCCTGGGAGAACCGGGGTTATCTGCAGCCCCTTTCTTCTCCCTCACCAATCTGCTGAGCACCTTCAGCCTGGAAACAGTGTGTGTCCAGAGTCCACGCATGCCTCAGCCCTCTCCCCGCCTTCCACTTTCAGATTCTTCAGGAGAGAGGATCTCGGATGTAAATGAAGAGTCTGACACGCCAGATCCTAATGGTCAGGAGAGCAGTCCAGCAGAGCGTCTCTCTGAAGTTACTCCTGCTCCTGTACAGTCACCGAGCTGCTGCCAAGCCAAGCCAGGCCTGGCCCCAGTGGAGAAGTGTTCCGTCAAAACCAAAGGAACCCCCACCCCCACCTGCAGGAATCCGGAGACAGAAACCTGCTTTTGTTTTCTTAGCCAGTGTTATAACAAACCTTTATCACAGCAGCTGGGCCCGGTTCCCAGTTGGAGCCTTTATGGGGATCTGGGGGAAGGGGAAGAGGAGGGCCCCACTCCTTGTAAATGGCCTGCACCACGAGGACCTGGAGCAAGCGAAAGAGGATGTGTCTCCGAGCTGTGCCGTGTTTTCACCTGAGTGTGCCAAGGTGGATGTTTGCAGCTGCTTTGTAACAGTCTCCTCTTCTTTGCTCCCTTAATGCAGAGGATGCAGAGAATTCTAGCCTCAGTTGGTCTGACGGACTTGAAGCTTTGGATAAGGGATAGAGTTGCCCAAGTACCCCTTATTCCTTTTGAACAAGAGCCACTTGGAGGAGGGGTTGCCCGGGTGTTCTCTCCCTGGGTCTGTGATGTGGCTGGATGTTGGCAATTGCTGCTTGGAATCCAGACCCTCGGCTGCTCCCACGTCAGCTTTGCCTCATTTGTCTCCAGCAGCCTGGACCCTCCAGAGGGTTTGCTTGCTCCCTGAGAAGAGGTTTGAGACAGGCTGCATCCTGCACTGACTCAGACAGCTGGAGGAACGGGAGCCGTAGTTCGTTGGTAGAACTGCTTCTGCAGCCTTTTCTCACCCCCATTTACCCTACCTTCCTTTCCTGTCCTTCTAAACTGGACCTAGGATAGAGGGACTTTGTAGACCCTCTGGTGACTTGGGGTGGGGAAGGGTGTTTCTTTGAAAGTTGCCAAATGTGTTAGGTTGTGGTATCTGAAAGTGTTATTTCCGTGACTGTCCCTGGGAAATACCTTGACTGAGCCTGTGGTACTTGTGCCTCCCCCAGTTTCTGACCTTGGCAAGCCTGGCCCCTGCGGTCTGCAAGCCTCCATGCCACCCCAGCAGTGTGCACGTCGGCCGGGTCATCTGCGGAGCGCTGCATCTCTGAGCCACTCCCCACCTTGCTCATTTCTGTGGGCGCCGAGGACCAAGTCCTTATAAGCCCTTCTTTGGGCCACAACCACAGAGCTTCTGTCTGGACTTTCTCCCTGAGCTTTGGAGCCTTGGTGAGCAGTCGTGGAATGCAAAAAGGCCAGAGAATCCTTATTTTTCCCCGGATAACTTCAGTAGTTCGGCCAGTTGTGTGGAGAAGGTGCCTCTGGGGACGTTCCACCTGTGAAAGGCCACAGCGCAGGCCAGTCACTCCTGGCACCTTCAAAGCAGAGGTTCTCTGTCTGCACAGCTCACCTGCCTAAGAGGCAGGCCAAGGGGAGTGGTTTTTGCAAAAGACTGTGTTAAATGTGTTTTGAGCTTGTGACCCGCCCGAGCCCAGATGGTATAACTCTTCCCTAGGAACCTCACTGTTTCCCTTCTTTCTGTGTGTCTGTAGACTAGGCTAGAAATGTGTGTACCCAAGGTGCTGGGGGTCTGCTGATACCTGTCCGTCTCCACACCAATGTAAGTACACGCGTTGGCGCCTGAGAAGGCCTGGTCCGTGCCCAGTATTTTCACAGCCATAAAGTGTTAGAACTTTTACCTACAGTGAAAGCAGCCACCCCTTCAGAAAGGTCACAGGCATCCATTCTGTCATATCTTTTAGGGAAAACAAAGATTTGGATCGAGTCAAGGAAAAGTAAAGAAAACGGAATGAGCTGCTGGGACCAGAGCAGGATCAGGCTTTGGGAGAGGCGCTCTGGCCAATTAGAGCAAGTGATGCGTGACTGACCAGGAGGAAGAGAAGCTATGCTGGGGCCTGTGCCCATCATGCTAATTAGTTTAGGCCCTTGGTCCCTCTCTGCTTTCTGGGGCCTGCCTGGCAGTCGGCACGGGCTGGAGTGGATGCCTCCGGTCCCAACCCCAGCCTTATCACCAGGGTCGGCAAGAAGGAGAGGAGAGGGCTGGAGGGCAGACGTTGGGCAGGGACCTCATGGATGTGTTTTTATTCTTACTTTTCAGAATTCCACCACCGGTCCTGTAAAAAGACCACAGTTGAGCCCCAAACTAAGTGCTCTGAGAAGCACACAAATGACACAGCTCTTAGAGGGTGGCTTTCACCAAGACCCCTCCTCACTGCAGCCCAGTGGCAATTGGAACTGTCCCAGTACTCCGGGAATCTGAGGACGAGTTGTTCCTTAGGGTTTCTGGGAAAGTGTTTTACCCAAGTCCTTTATGAGCCAAGGTGGTGGTCTTTCTTGGAGCTTCTCCCCCAGAGAGTCTGGCTGATAGCTTGGGAGCTCGGCTGCCCATCAGTCTGGAGCGGGGGTGTCAGGTGACCCGTGCTGCCAGGCAGGGCATGTCTTCCTGCCTTTCCTGCCCCAGGAGCGAGGGCCGGGGAGCAGACTGGCATCTTGTGCTGGCGACAAGTGGTAACGCTTCCCTTTTCTTAGAACCTGGTCCTTTTCCTTGGCAGAGAGGGGGCCCTACCTCCTCGGAAGTGACTTGTTTCTGCACGTTTGTATCTGATCTCAGGGTGTCTGTGAGGTGTGGGGGAGGGCTAGAGCTGCTGAGGGCGTAGGGTGCGAGGACTCCGCCCCTCCACCATGGCCTTTGACCCAGCGTTAGGTGCCGTGCCTGTCACTCGTTGGTGCCCTTTGCTGCCATCTGTGTGTTTAAATCAAGTCTGAAATGCTGTGACTTTTTTTGTCAATAAAGACAATGAAACAGACTTTGAAATCTTGAAACCTCTTGTGTGTTTTCCATCCCTGCCCGCTCCCTGGTGTCCACTCCCACTTCCTGTTGATAATTCTCAAACTGTTCTCAGGAGATGAACTTCCCTGCACCTTTCCAGCGGGGCAGCTCACAAAAGCCCCACTTCTGCTGCTGCCAACACTGCCGGCGGCTGGGGCGGTTGGGCCACCCCCCCTTCATTTTGCTGAGTCTGAGAAACCTCGGTGAGCAACGTGTGTAGTTGTCTGGGGGTCCAATCAGGAGACAGACCACGGCAGTTACTTTAAAAGGGAATTGACAGTGTTGTCACCCAGGCATGGCGGGAGGGAAGGGCCAAGGGCACACTGAGCTGTCACAGCAGCAGTGACTGCAGGGTGCAGCCACAGCCAGGACAAGGAGGGGAAGAGCTCGGGGTTATTGAAATGTAGAGTGCAGAGCTCGGCTGCTAACCTAAAGGCTGATGGTTCATCCCACCCAAGTGGCTCCACGAGAGAAAGACCTGGCAATTTGCTTCTGTAAAGATTGTTGTGTGCCGTCAAGTCGATTCTCACTCATAGAGTGGAACTGCTCTGTAGGGTTTCCCAGAATGTAGTTGCCACACCATCCTCCCGTGAACCGCCCGGCCTTTCAGTTAGCAGCCAAGTGCTGAACCACTGCGCCCCCAAGCCTCCTTCCATAAAGATTACGGCCCAGGAAATCCTGTGGGGCAGTTCTGCTCTGTCACATGGGGTTGCTATGAGTCGGAATCAACAACCCCCAACAACAGAGTTCGGAGGAGGAGCTGGTGTCTGTGAGGGGCTCAGGGAGGCTGTTGCCAGGCGTGTGGCGAGGCTGCCAACAAACCGACAGTTGGCTGCTCCTGGAGCCAGCTCTTGCTGCCAGCCTGGAGCACGGTTGCTGTGGCTTTGCTGACAACAGGAAGGAGTCTGTCCCTTCTCGTCCCTCTGGCCTTTAACGCAGAGCTGTCAAGGAGCGCGCTGGTAAAGGAGAAATGTGGCTCGCAGCTTCCCAGCCCCGGTACCACTGAGGGTGGGCTTGGGCTGAGAGACAGTAACATAATAACCACAGACAAGCTTCTACACCTATATGAACTTTCATACAATGGTAAAAACAAGTGTATGCCTTCATACAACAAGAGGCAGCCACCCTTTATACAAACATGTTCTCACCCTCTCTGCAAGTGAGGAGACACGAAATGCCATCAGTCACTGCGGCCATGTCTGAGAGACAGTTTCTCCTTCCAGGTGTGTGACTTACTCCTCACATTGCCTCATGGGGTCAGATCACATGGTCACGTGATGCCTGTGGTCAAGCACTCGTCTCTGCCAGGGCCCAGTACAAGGCAGGAGCTGTTTCTCAAAAGGAGAATAAACCCCCCAAAACCAAACCCACTGCTGTTGGTTCTGACTTATCGCGACTCTGTAGGACAGAGTAGAACAGCCCCATAGGGTTTCCTAGGCTGTAAACTTTTTTTTTTTTAATTATAGTTAGATGAAGTTTACAGTTCACATTAGTCTCCCATACAAAAATTTATACATACATTGTTATGTGACCCTAATTGCTCTCCCCATACTGTGACAGCACACTCCTCCTTTCCACCCCTGATTCCCCATGTCCATTCAACTAGCTCCTAACCTCTCTACCTTCCCATCTCACCTCTGGACAGAAGCTACCTGTTTAGCCTTTTGTATCTACTTGAGCTAAGAGGCACACTCCTCACAAGTATAACTCCTAGGCTGTAATCTTTAAGGAAATAGACAGCCACATCTTTCTCCCGAGGAGTGGCTGGTGGGTTGGAACCACTGACCTTTCGGTTAGCAGCTGAGCGCTTGACCACTGCGCTACCGAGGCGTCTAAAAGGAGAATAACCAAACCAAACCCGCTGCCATCAAGTCGATTCCAACTCATAGTGACCCTACAGGACAGGGTAGAACTGCCCCATAGCATTTCCAAGGAGCTGCTGGTGGATTTGAACTGCCAACCTTTTGGTTACCAGCCAAACTCTTAACCACTACACCACCAGGAATAGTCAACTGCAGAAGAGGGCACGGATCTCCTGGAAACCCTAAAGTTCTGCATGGTGATTCTTCAGCTGGGACTTGCCAGAGGCTCCATGTTGTGGTTAGCTGCCATCTAGCCAACCCCTAACTCATGCTGATCCCAGGCACAATGGAACAAAACACTGCCCAGTCTAGTCAATGGTTGTGGATCAGACCATTGTGGTCTATAGGGTTTTCATCTGCTTCTTTCTGGAAGTAGATGGCCAGGCCTTTCTTCCTAGTCTGTCTTAATCTGGAAGCTCCGCTGAAACCCGTTCAGCATCAGAGTAGCATGTAAGCCTCCACTGACAGATGTGTGGTGGCTGTGCATCAGGTACATTGGCCAGGAATCAAACCTGGATCTCCAGCATGGAAGGAGAATTCTACCACTGAACCAGCAGTGCCCTCTGAGGCGCCACACAGCATCACTATCTGCCACAGATAATTTGAGTTTCACCAGATCTGCTCAGTCATGAAGCCCAGGTGGCAGTGCAGTGCTATATTTTTAATAAGAATCATACCACACAGAAAATTTTTCCTCAATAAAACTTTCCTCTATAGTGAACGCTATTACTTTAGTAAGCCAGTTTAATTCCTTGATTGGTTTTCTATACAGCGCAATTAAATTGTTTCTAAGTTTTCCTATTTCCATTTTTACTTAAAAATATTTTCTTTAAGGCCATTGTTCTCCATGAGAGTTTACAGTGAAAAGTTAATTCAATTGACCAATTCTAACTTTTGCCCTTATAGGTTTTCTTTTGGGGCTATTACTTCCTCCATGCTTATTGTTCCCAAGTCAAATTTTGCAGTTCAAAATCTAAGGCTTATACATCTAAATTTGTGTGTTTTTAACTGATGCCAGTTTTCTGTTAGTTATTTCTAATAAAAAAAAAGTTACCAAATGGATAGAAGATCAATAGTGTGTACTAGCTTTTCTGTGAGGAAATTGTGAGCAAGTTCCTGCAGATATTCTTGGATTGCTTTTTGTCCAAAGTTGGGCTATTCTTTCTAAACACATTTCACTCTAATCACTTTTTGCACATGGTACTGTTGACAAATTTGGCAGATCAAAGAGCAACACATACTGAGGGTCAAAATATCTTCAAAATATTTGCTCTGTTGTGATGTATAGCCAATAAGCACATCTTGGAAAAAGAAGGGTTTCACAGGGCTCTTGAACTAGACCTTAAAGGCAGAGAGGGATGGGGTTGGCAGGTTCAGGAAGTCATGCCACCTATGTCTAGTATCACTCAGGTCTGGGACCCATCAGGACAAGAAGAAACATTGCCTTGTTGCCTTGCACTGCACCGCCACTGCACGCCCAGTACTGTGCTAGGCACTGAACAATCCAAAAGTGAGTCACCTGCTGGAGGCAGGGAGGCAGCCAGGACTTACGCTCTCTCTCTGAGAACAACTAGAAAAACTGAGAGAGAGAGCACACATATATCCCAGAGATCTAACAAAGCAGCAAAGACTTACGGGGCGAAGATCCAGGAGAAGGAGGAAATCCAAAGATGTGAACCCAGCATTTAGATCCACTTTTCCTTGGAGGTATCTGATAATTCTGGAACAAATATTGGAGCTCCGGGTGTGCCAAGGAGGGGACCCTGGGTTGGAATCCTGAAGAAGTACACCCTGGAAGAAAGGATGAGCCAGAAAGAGACCAGACCTCTGAGAAGAATGGAACCTAACTTTGAATCATCTCAATCCCTGCTTGGACTACAGTGATTTAGATTACTAGTTCTCCTAGCCTCCTTCCAGAAGCAGTCATAAATCTATTCTGAAGGAATATAATATCACCCTTAGCCTCAAATTATCTCTCTTATTTTTCATACACCATGTCCACTACACAGTGAACATTGACCAGGCAGAGATAATCAGACATTATGTGCTCTCTGATGTTATGCAATAGCAAGTACACCACTTATGAAAGATTTCTTGCCAAAAAATTGAAGCTGAGTTTTAACAGCTTACAGGAGACAGGAAATAGAGGATAAATGGCTCTGTTTCTTCAACAAATGAGTGGCAAGGGGAAAAATGAGGACAATGGAGCAGTTATTTGAAAGAGACTTTAGACAACCAAATGCAGTGTGAGCACCTTATTTGGATTCTGACTTTAGCTAACAAGAGTAAAAAAGACTTTTACGTGACAATTTGATAAATTTAAACATTAATTAATATGAGGGAATTTGTGTGTATATGTGTGTGTGATAATGGTACTGTGCTTTGTTTGGGTTAAAAAAAGAAAATTATTTAAAAAATAGGGACAGACACAGGAATGCAAGATGTCAGTAGGAGAAACAATGTGCTGGCAGCAGAGGGTAAACAGGAACTATCTGTACTTACTGCACAATTCTCCTGTAAACCTAGAACTACTCTAAAAAATAAAGTCTATGGAGGAACCCCAGAGAGCATGGTCCCCGGACTCTCTGTCAACCCAGAACTAAAACCATTCCCAAGGCCAACTCTTCAGACAAAGATTAGACTGGACCATGGGACATAAAATGATACCTGTGAAGAGTGTGCTTCTTAGCTCAAGTAGATACATGAGACTAAATGGGCAGCTCCCGTCTGGAGGTGAGATGAGAAGGCAGAGAAGGTCAGGAGCTGGTTGAACGGACACGGGAAATCAGCGGTGGAAAGGAGGAGTGTGCTGTCACAGTATAAGGAGAGCAATTAGGGTCACATAACAATGTATAAATTTTTGTATGAGAGACTAACTTGAATTGTAAACTTCCACTAAAGTACAACAATAAAAAAATAGTCTATTTATAAAAAAAAATAGATACAGAAGTGTTTGTGGATGAAACTATGTGTTTGTCACTTGCTTTAAAATAATACAGTGAGACAGGGAGAAATAGGAGGGCATGTAAATGAAACAAGATTGACCATGTGTTGATGTAAATGGGTGAAGGGTACATAGGGGTTCATTTTATTGGTCTCTCTACTT